CCCATTTGTCCAGAGTGGGGACTGCGGCAGAGTTGACCCCTGTAGTTGCTCTGAGGAGGAATCAGCTTACTTGGGTTCCCCTGGTTTCACCTCTGAAGGTTCAAAGGTGGTGGCTCTTCGGTAAGCGAATTGCTGTTGGCTATGAGCTGTTTTCTAGGTGTGAAGGTGGAGGCTGGGTTGAGAAAAACTTCAGAGGAAAGAACTATGTGGAATCCGACTCGTGACTCTGTTATGTGCTGCTGCTATGTTGATATCATGGATATTGGTCAGTGTTTACCTAGTGTCAGACATTAGCCAGCAGAGGACTCTAGCAACAACATATATATATGTTAAATGTAAAAGTGATATTCATATGGCAGTGTATTTGTCCACGTGGGTGTATGTATACATACCACCCTAGTATCTGTATGCCTTATGTATGTTTACCTGTTACATAGAGAAGCAGCAGTGGCAATGAAAATGATTTACCTTAGGACCAAGAAGATGATGTTAACAGTAAAAGTGCATAGAGTAAGATCATTTCCTTTTCTCCTTCCTCTATTCTAAAAATAATTTTATAAACAGGTAATTTATGAACCTGGTTAAAAAAAATTTCATTCATTAGCATGGAGTAAAGTGAAAAATAAGTCTCCTATCTTCTGCCCCGGAAATGATTATCACCAGTTCTTGTGCATTCTTCAAGAGATATTCTGTATGTTCAAAAAGAATACACACATTCATCCCCCTTTCTAAAAAGTGTTCTTTAAATGAATGAGTGGGAGGGTTAATAGGAAGATCTCTGTCTTCCCTCATCTTCGTGTGCAGCCCCTGGTGTGTAGCACAGATTCCAGCGCACAGGCCTGTGATTTACACACGTGTTGGTTTTATGCCGGAGGACAAGTTCTTTGTTATAAGAAAACTTCTGGAATCCAGAAAACGGATTTCCTTCCCAGTTCATCTGGTTATTAATCTTCCCAAAAGCTCAAGACAAATAAAATTCCCCTATCTGAGACCTTTGCGGCATCCCAGAGGCAGGTGAGAATGTTTCTGTGGCGTTGTCTTCACTTTCTGATTTGTCATCAATTCTGAGAGTAAGCCAGTCAGGGTTTATTTAGTTCACTTGCTGTTGATTTTATAACCAACTGCTGACTGCTTGGGACATAAAACTCATGATGATTTACAAGTAGTAAGTGAGCAAGGAATCCATAAATCACATACTATATGAAGGGAGTGTAGGGGGTCACATTCTCTCTCTCTCTCTCTCTCTCTCTCTCTCTCTCTCTCTCTCTCTCTCTCTCACACACACACACACACACACACACACACACACACACACATTCACCTTCAAAGGAAGAGTTGCAGGCATATGCAGAAAATAGATTCACTTTTAACTTGAAACTGAGAACTTATTGGTAAGAGGCCCAGAGTCAACAACCTCCAGAAGTTAAATTACATCAGGTAACATTTTAATATAGAGCAAGAGGCTCTGCCCTTTATTTCTTAAGGAGGAGACTCTAGTTCCCACTTTAGATAAGTTCAAAGGAGTTTTTCTGGTCTCTGGAGGAAAAAAACATTTTTTTTAAGTTTTACTGACCAAGCCAAAAATGCTAAAGGTTGTCAGCGTTTTCTGATACTTTTGAAACTAATCTGCAACAGGTATTTGTCAACTAAACACTCACTTAAAGGTATTTTTCTTTTCATGTATAATTTTTTCTGGGCCTGTATTTAGAAAAATATTATAATATGCTAAAAGTAGGGGGGAAAAGTTTCCAATTCCAAAGGATACCTAGAGTTTCAGGGAACCGACAGAGAAGGAGATATGGAGTAAAAAGAAATCTTGAAAAACATTTTTGTTTGGAAAGTGAAATTTAATAAATATGGATCTGCTACCACAATAGGGTGCCAATTGTCTACATCCCAAAACATAATGTACTACGACTAGAAATGTGGGCGCATTTAGCAGAATGGATCCTGATTCAAACAAAACAAAGAGGTAAAAATAAAAAGTAGAAAATTGGCTGGCCTGGCCTGTGTGGTTCAGTGGTTGAGTGTAGACCCATGAACCGAGAGATCACTGGTTTGATTCCCAGTTGGGGCACATGCCCAGGTTGCAGGCTCAATCCCCAGTAGGGGGCATGTAGGAGGCAGCCAACTGAGGATGTTTCTCTCTGATCAATGTTTCTATCTCTCTTTCCTTCTCCCTTCCTCTCTCTCTAAAAATCAATAAAAACATTTTTTTTTTTAAAGTAGAAAATTGGGGAAAGTTAAACATTGACTAGATATTTAATGACATTAAGGAATTGTAAATTTTTTAGGTGTAATAATAGTGTTGGGGTTTTTTCTCTCGAATCTTTACCTTTGAAGAATACACATGAAGTATTTTAGAATGAAATGATTTAACAGTTTGGATTTGCTTTACAAATCCAGTTGAGAGACTGTGCTTGGGGTATAAATGAAAAGATTGGCCATGAGTTGAGGTTAGGTGATGGCTACATAGGTTTCATATACTATTCTCTCTACTCTTGTATTTACTTGAAATTTTTCATAACGTAGAAAACAATGAAACAGCTAAGTTGAGTTAGAGAGGTCCTTACCTATTTGAAGAGTTCGTTTACTTATTTCACATTTGTTGTTCAACAGGCACCAAGAGTGTGGGCTGTGCAGAGGGCTCTGAACGAGGCCTTTGGTGAGTGCTGAGCGCTGGAGCTGCAGACAGCGCCCTGGTTACCGGGACAGACGGGCACACTCCTGAGCGCTAGGCCCAGTCACCTCAGTGATGTGTGGGAAGCCCTCTTCTCTCCGTGGGTAAGAAGGTATCCGCCTCTCGGCCACTGCGAGGAGTTTCTGTTTGGAGGAGAAACACCACCTGCCCAGGGGTGTGGGGCTTCATGGCAACCCTACTCCACTGACCCAACAGTAAACACGCTGAGGAGGAGGCCCCGGGGTCAGAAGCTGAAAACAGACACCCATGGCCAGCTCTTCACAAATAAGAGTCTTTGTTTTCATACTGTACCCCGTGCCTCCCTCCCCCCCGCCCCCCAAAAAATAGGTAGAGCGAAAGGGCTGGCTGTGTTGCAGAGAGCTACGGCGCATTTGAAATTTAGACCCGTGCCTGGCTCAGTGGAGCCAAAGAGAAGGCGATTGCAATCCCTGGGAAGTTCTCCGCCCCTGAAAGACCTCAGAGCTCTGCCCCCGGGTGGGTGCTGGGCCACAGGTTGGTTCCAGGGGAGAAAGGAGGGCTGAGAGCTTCATGAGAGTGTCTTCCCCTTGTGTCTGGGCCTCACTTCCCAGGCCTGGAGGACCCCTTCCCCGGTCCATCAGGACTGTTAGCTGCCTGCCATCTCTCCAGCCAAAAGGAGCCCAAGGCGCTGGCAGGAGGTTTCCAGAGAACCTCACTTTCTTAAGGAACCTGTCTCCTTGGATTAACAAGACCTCGGAGCTTCATTTTGAATTCCGTGTAGCTCACCAGAAAGTGCCTACCCGCATGGCCCCAGGGAGGCTGAGGTGGAGGAGACCGAGGTCCGCTGGTGCTCTGGTCACTTAGGCCTGAGCTTTGCCAGCAAGACCAATGTTTCACCCTCCATGCCTCTGGGTCTTGCCCAGAGTGAGCAAGTGTGCAGAGTCAGGTCACGGGCATTATTAAAATCCTTCTGTGGCTTCCCAGCTGCCCTGCGGACACCTACCAAAATGCTCGACAAGGCTGACAAGGGAGGCCCCGGGCTCTGGCCTGGACACTGAGCCTTTGAGCACGTGGGCAATGGCAGGGCCCTTCCCACACCATAACCTTGGGGTGGATAGCGTGGCTGGGCCAAACTCCAGTCCATCATTCCCACATCCCAGTTCTCTATTCGTCCCATAAGATGTTGAGAGGAGAGAGAATGGCAACATCCAGACCACAAACCAGACACTCGTCCAGGAATGCGCCCTCGCTGGTCACAGACCAGGCAGAGACCTGGTGTCTGAGTTCAGGGGCCACTCGGGGCTTCCTGTCATGTTGGCCCCTGCAATCCCCACACAAAGACAGAAAGAGCATTGTGGGATTGTCCTGAGGCAAGAGAGCTGGTGGGTGTAACTGGTCAGGGACTGGAAGGCAGCTCTGAGGGCGGTGGCAGCAGCGATATACAGGCTTACACAGCCTGCAGGGCAGCCCTAAGACCTCTCCCACTCAGGGATGTGCTAGGCATCCCCTCCTCCTTGTACAGGTATCAACTACTCAGTTCCCAGGACAGTCCTCTGAGGCCAGAACACCAGCCACCTGGCTACCCTAGTAAATGTGACTCCCTGGGGCTAGGTGTGGTGAGGGCCTTGACTGCACTCCCCAAGCAAACTCTGTGACTCTCCTGACTAGTTCAGGACCCCTCTTTGGTGTCAGAGAATAATGATCGGTGAACTCTGCAAGGGCAGAGCCATATCTGCTCGTCTGTTGGTTTGGTTTTTCACTGTCATATGCCCCTTGGCCCCGGTCCTGACCCAGAGTAGATGCTCAGTCAACAAATACTGACGGAATGAACACATTCCCATTTGCTGACCCCCAACTGTTGCAGGCCAGCCCCCCACCCTGAGCTCCCGAAGCGGTTAGCGCTGACGCACTGTCCTCAGAAGCATCGGTTACCTCTACGGTTAGCGCTTTTTCACTGTCTTAGAACAGGGACAGTTTCTGGAGCTACAAACTCCCCCGGGCCACGCCCTTGCATATGGGACTCCTGGCGTCACCCAGACAAATTGGCTGTCCTACCCTCCCAGCTTTCACACAGAGACATCCTTTCCTAACATCTTTTTCCAATTTGGGCATCCCTTCATGCCAAACCCCAGCCCAGGGATATCAAGCTGCAGGGTGGGTGAGAGTGAGGAGGGAAGGGGGTGAGGGAGGCGGGCATGCAGGCCTCTGAGTGTCACTACTGGTAGGCGTGCTGCTGGTGATGCTCAACCATGTCCCCGTCACTAACTTCCTGCCCAGAGCCCATGGCCCCCAGCTCGGAGTCCAGTATTTCATGAAATGAATATAAAGCTAGTTTCTGTGAACAGAACTATATTTTTCCATCACATCCTATCATCAAACATGAAAATGAATTCTCATAGGAAAAGATTTTGTTCCCGAGATAGAATACAAATCACAATAATATACCATGGCCTATGTGAATCATATCCTTGGAAAACTAGATATTTCTGGTAAAAATAGTACCAAAACTTTAAAGAACGGCTAAATCCTGTCTTGTTTGGGCAAGCCTCCCTTTGTAGCCTAAGAAAAATCTTTTCTTTTAAAACCTGATGATTTTAGTTGATCTCTTCCACAGCCTGTGAGTTTGTTCTGGTTGTTTATTACATAGTCCGGATTCGTGGAAAGTAAGGGCAACAGTGTGTGTGTTTTTTATAAAAGAGATGAGCTTGTCTTGGCTATAATGATTGTTTCCGCGATCCATGATTTCCCAGGTGTTGGCATGGCAGCTCCGTTCTGTCTAACTCCACAGAACTCTTGTGAGGTGCTGAGAGAAGTCCCAGGTTCTGCCGGCACTGCGCCCAGGCAGCTCATGCCCAGCACTGATCCCATCCTGGGAGGACACATCAAGCCTACACTTCCCCACAAGAGCATCAGCAGCCCAGAGTCCCTGCGACCCAATGATAACTTAAGTATCTAATGACATCATTGTCCTATTCTTACTTATTTTGAATGGTTTAGACACCTATCCAATATCCTAACAGAACATATTCTTTATTTTTTACTCCATTTATTCGTTTGTTTATTGCAGCCTTTAAGATACCCAGAGTCCTCGGGGACACCTGATGGGATATGCAAATGTACCCTGGGAACTGAGAAGGGCCCTGGGAAAGCCACAGTTTTCTCTTCCCTGCCTCCCTCCCACCCCCACTCTCACTGCTGTGGATAAACAGTTGAGATTCCTGCTGGTAGGCATGCTGCTGGTGAACTGTAGACGGGGGATCCCTTGCTGTATCAGAAGGTAATTTCTCCACCCCAGCCTCATTTTTACCAATTTGAGACATTTCACCTCCCCCCCTCCCCCCCTTGAATGGTGTCTGTCAGGCTGCTGGGGCTGCTCTGCTGTCTGCCTCCTGAAGGTTGCAGCGTAGAACACTTCATTTGTCAGCAACAATGACTTCAGGCTACTCCCTCAGCATTCGTCTCTATCGAGGGAGGGAGAATATCTCCTCATAGGGGGGAGGAGAGAAGCCAGCAGAGTCCTCACCTCCCCGCTGCGTCTCTTCTAGCAGCTCAGCATCAGGGCTGGACCTGAAGTGTGAGCGGAAAACACAGATGCGTTACAGCCCACAGCACTGTTCCCAGAACCAACGCCACCTGCCTGGCAATAGGCCACACAGAGATTGCATTCGCCCACCACCTTCCTTATAGAGCAAACAGAGCCATCGACTATGGCTGTGACTGCGGGAAGGGGAGGATCCCCACCACAGACACCATACCTGTCATCTCCACCATCCGCGAAGGCAGGGTAGTCCTGGTCGTCAACAAAGGCAGAGTTCTCTGAAGGGTAGATGGTGCAGTACTGAGGAGGGCTTGGCGTGGCAGCGGCCACCACTCCAGGTGGTGTGAGGCAGCAAGGGTTCACCACTGGCTGTAGGTACGCGGTGTTCACCCCAATGGGCTCTTGAGAGCCATAAGGGGGAGGAATATACTGCACCACAGTAGCCCCATGGAAGGTGATGGGCTGGTTGATACCAGTGAAAACAAATGACTGTCCTCCTGCCGTCTGCTCCGTGTCAAGGACCCTTTCCTCACTCTCGTTGCACAACTGGCAGGAGAGCATTTGGAACTTGCACACAGCAATCAGGATGAACGTCACCCCAACCGACAGCAGGATGGGCCCGAGGAGCTGGGTCCATTCCAAGTGGGAGATCCCTTGGTATTTGATCCAGCCCATGATGGTGAACGTGATCCCCACCAGTCCTAGGAAGACTCCTGAGAAGAGTAAGGTGGCCCCTGCCTTGTCATCGTCGGACACCTGGATGTCCGCGGTACTGGGTGTGTAAGGAGTGACGGAAAACACGTTGACAGGGAAGTCCTCCAAGGGCCTGCTGCCCTGCTCCATCGTCCTCACACAATCACCCGTTCCTTACAAGGGAAAGGGAGTATGAGAGCTCCTAAGAGCAGAGCAAGCGATCATAGGTTCAGATTAGTTATGGGAGAACTTTGGGCTCCTGTGGTTAACAGAGTAGAACAGGCAGAGGCCTGAACTTTGTGTAGAAGAATAAAGTTCTGAGAAATGAAGCCTGAAGTTTTCTCATAATTGTCAATAATTCAAGGTCTCTGTTTTGCAATTCAAGCTGTCTCTCATTCACATTCATTCATTCGCTCATTCACAGCGTGTCTATTGAGCTGCCTTATATGCCAGGAGGTGCTTTTCTAGACACTTAGGCACTGTTCCAAGGCCCTGTTGTGTCTTACCAAAACCAGGATTGTAGAAATGGCAGCGGGACCTCCAGGGTCCCTTGATGTATCAACCCCAATTTTCCTGCTGGTCAGCTCATTAGAAATAGGCAGACTTGCCCTAGCTGGTTTGGCTCAGTGCATAGAGCATTAGCCTGCCGATGGAAGGGTCCCAGGTTCAATTCCAGTTAAAGGGCACATACCTTAGTTGCAGGCTCCTCCCCAGACCCGGCCCTCGTCAGGGCGCACACAGGAGGCAACCAATCAATGTGTTTCTCTCACATCGATATTTCTCTCCGTCTTTCCCCTCTCTCTTTCACTCTCTCTAAAAATCAGTGGAAAATATATCTGGGTGAAGATTAAAGAAATAAGCAGACCTGACCATGTGTGCACTCCTTCCCACTTCCCATGTGCCTTTTGCTTTCAGCATTTGGGGACCGATTCCAACTGCCGGAGAGGAGGGGTGCCACAGGAAACCTTCCCGTGCATGGCATCATTGGCGGAGGCTGAGTGAGCACAGGCATGACCTAGCGTGTGGGGACACATGCTTCCGGCCCTCCCTCCATGGTGGCAGCACAGTCCCTGGCCTCGGGGGGAAGTAAACAGCTGCATTGTCAAGCCTGCTGTGTTCTGCAATCAAACCCAAGCTCATCTAGAGAAGAAAGCCCCATCTTCAGCGACGGTACCTGTCATTCATAACCACAGAACCGCTTCAAAGCAACCCCACGAATTTCCTCCTCCTCAGAATAGTAACTGTGACCCTCGTTCTTTCCCCGACAGAGCTTATGCAAGCAGATGTCTCTCTTCAGAGGTTAAATATTATATCAGCTCCTTCTTTTGCAACATTGAGCAGAAGGAAAAGAGTTGCTCTCTTGCCCTAAGTCAAGGCTTCCCAGACTTCCCTGGTGAGAAAAATCATCCAGGCCACTTTTTAAAAAAGTAAAATCTGAGCTCCCAACTCAGAAAAACAGAACCAAAATGTCCAGGGGAGAATAGTGCCCGCGTGGCTCTTGTCATCAGGAATCTTTGGAAACCGACTCCAAGTTCATCCCGAGTGCTCCTGGGAGACCAGGGAACTTTTCTGCCCACTAAAATGCCTCTTCCTGCTACAGGACAAAGCCTGCAGTCTCCAACTTCACTGCCAACCAGATGGGAAACCAAGCAGATGACCCCTCAGGTATCTTCCCAGATAGGTCTTTGAGCAGCAAGGATGGAGTGTGTTGCAATTGGAGTGGTCTCCCCCATTTCAGTCTATTGCTTAAGCAAGTCACTAAGCCAAGCCAGACACTAAAGGAAGGAAATTAGGTTCTTCCTTTCCGGGAAGAATGTCAATGTCACCGTGCAGAAGAACATGTGGGGTAGGAGATATCCCTGCCGTTCTCTGGAAAATACAGTCTTGCCCAGAGGAGTGTTGTTGACTCGTCACTGTTTAGTCTGTGATACTGTTTGAATTTTTGTCCGTGTGGACATCCAAGGGTGTCCCAAGACTTTAGATCAACCGTGTTGTGTCCTCACTCACTCATTCTTATTTACTGGCAAGTTTTTGATGGGACCCGTGGGGGCAACACTCTGTCACAGCCATCAAGAATGTCACGTTCTGAATTTTCCTGAGTTTCTTGTATATTTTCACTGTTTCTCAGACCTACATCTCAAACCTCCTGCTTTTAACCACCAGTCCGCATTCCTAGTTAAAAATTGTAATTTTGAAATGATGACAGTTCAAAGAGATGAATGAAAAGTGACACTAAAATGACAAAAACAGAGTTTTCAGAGCTTATCAGGCAACTCCTGGGAAATGAAACTAGCACAGTCCTGTATTTGTTAGCAAAACAGTTGATTAAATATGTCATGGCAGGAAGTAAATTGCTTTGTGGAGGTCGTGTGTGTGTGCTCAGACCATGATCCTACAGTATAACCTATTTCACAGCAGTGTGGGTCATAGCCACTTGATTTGACTACACATGAAATACCACCAGATCTCCCATAACAAAAAAAGTGCCAAATATTTCAACCACTCGAAGCACGGAAAAAGCAAAATAAAATAAAACAAAACCATGAGCTTGGATAACATGGAAAAACAGCGATCTGCTAGTTCTGTTTTCAAATATGTGGCTCAAAACCCTTCAAGATTTCTAGAATTCAAAAAGAGTTTCTTCCCAAGCATTTGAATAGAAATGACACTGCTTGGCTTCCCTTATCCCTCCACACTGTGGGAGGGGGAGGCTCAGAGCGGCGGCTGGGGGAAAAGAACAAAGCAGCAGGAAGGGGGCTGGGTGCTCTGCTCTGCACAGCAGAACCCTGTCACTGGCCACCATCGTTTGCAATGGGGAGAAAATCAACCAAAGCAGAAGTGGTCAGGAGGGTATGATCCATCAAGGAAGCTGGTCCTTGGATTCAACTCTGAATCCAGTTACTGTGAGAGGAAAATATCAGCATGCACAGCTCCTGGCTCTGCTTGGGAATCCAGGAGCTAGACTGGTCCTGGGGCCCCACACTGAGTCCTCTTCCCTGTCATGGCTGGTCATCAGGGCTAAAGCAGCAAAGCGGGCAGCTGTCATGGAGAGGGTCCAAAAGCCATGCCTGACCAGCTCTGCGCCTGCAGCATGCTGAGGGTACAGGCTTATGGGGAACATGAGCAAAGCCCCATGTGCTGACCGGTCGCCCTCCAGGACTTGTGGTGAGAGGATGGCTGCATCTGGGAAAGGCCCTGATGGAACAGATATGGCACCTCGGCCCTGAGAGATGAACCTGCACTTCAGTGAATGTCTGGCATCTGTCAGTCAGTTGGAGGGAGGTGTTGGGGAAAACCTCAATAGTAGGGATTACCCACTGCTACCTGTTCCCTTTACTTGAATTGTATCTGACTATGGTGGCAGATAGTTATATCCACCTTTTAAAGTAAAAAGACACAGTGGTTGGACCATAGCTATACTATCATAGCGGTGCTACGGTCATGCTGAGAACCAAAACTGTCCTCACGCATTTGACTTTGTTACAAGAATCATAAGAATACCTGGGGGTGCAGGAATCATTGCCGAACGACCCTGCACATTCATCCCATCCTCTCGCTTGAGGTTCCTCGCATCCTGCTGAGGGACAGGGCTCAGCTCTATAGATGATTAATCTCAGAAACAGGAAAGGATGTTATGTGACCAAGCAGCAGTGCAGGAGGACAATCTGTTTTGCTAAACTGTTTTCAAACTGCTCTTCCATGAAGGGCACACGCCTGCTGACGAGGGGATCCGTCTGTGGTCTCGGGCCAGCCTGTGTCGGCTGAGGGTCGCTGGGGCCACCTGTTCTCAAGGTGTTCTCTCAGACAACCTTTAGATTTTTTTTTTTTAGATGAAACTGAATGTTACCTTGATGGAGATGGAATGTAGGTCACAGCCACTGACGTTTTCAGCAAACAAGGTGAGCCTCCCAGGGGCCCAGCTCGTGGTCTGAGGCTCTCTGGACGGGGTGGGTCTGCACTGGGCATGGCTCCCTCCTGATCTCAGGGGTTTGTGTGCTTGTGTATTTGATTTCTATTGTGGTATGACCACACACAGAGGCTACAATGACCCTCGTTTACCAGCTCAAAGTTCTGTAGATCAGATGTCAGTCTTAGCCGGAGGTCCTAGGGAAGACTATTCCTAAGCTCATTTTGATTGTTGGCAAGTTCAGCCCTGTGCAGAGTAGGACTGCAGGCCCCTTTTCCTGGCAGAGGTTACTTCTGCTTCTAGCAGTCACCTACTTTCCTTCTCCCGTGGCCCTCCCCACCTTCAATACGGCTGCACCCTCTCAAAATCCAGATCTCCTTGCCAATCATTCTAGCTTCCCCTTTTGCCTTATTTTTCTGCTGCGACAGCCATAGAAGTTCTCTGCTTTTAAGGACCTGTGTGATTAAAATCTCACCCAGATAATCCCTTTTTTACATCAACGGTACCTTATAACAGCACAGTCACAGGAATGGTATTCTTATCACAGTCTCAGGTTCTGGGGGATGAGGAGTGTGGACTCCTTTTTGGAGAAGGGCATTTTTAGAATCTGCCCACCACCTTCTGGTTCTGTTGCTGGGAGCCAAAGAGAGTTATTTAAGAACAAGTGATCGGGTAAGAGTGACCCCATTGGGAATGTGTTTGTCCAGGCTTTACTGGGAGCGTTTAGGTAACAGGACTGCAGAGGGGCTTATGGGCCTTAACATGTCCAGTTTATAGTCACGCGTGGCTCTCACAGTGAGGTCCCAGGACCAGCAGGGTCAGCAGCCTCTGGATTTTGCAGAAATGCAGATCCCAGAGCTGCTGAACTAGATGCTCTGTTGTGGATCCAGAGATCTGGGCTTTAAGGAGGTGATTCTGAAACTTGCCCACTTGAGAACTATTTCTCTAAGGCAGTGGTTCTCAACCTTGGCTGCACATTAGAATCACCTGGGAATCTTTTTAAAATCCTGATTTCTGGGCCTCATCCTCCGGAAATTCTGTTTCTTTGTTACTAATGTTGTGGCCTCACCCCATAACAAAGAAACAGAATTTCTGGAGGATGAGGCCCGGAAATCAGGATTTTAAAAAGATTCCCAGGTGATTCTAATGTGCAGCCAAGGTTGAGAACCACTGCAATAAGGCAAGTCCTCAATTTCTTTTATTGGTGTGTGTGTGTGTGTGTGTGTGTGTGTGTGTGTAATCGAAAGTGGGGAAGGGAGTCAAATAGGTCATCTCTAGAGTGACTTCCACTCCCAATCATTTGTGATTCTG